CAAACATATTGTCATTTTTTCCCCTGTGCTTTGGTACATTCTTTTCGTATAAATTTTAGACAAAACCTAAACAATCTTAAACAAACCTAAACAATCTTACAAACAGTTTCTACGGTACTTGATTAGAATAAATACAAAAACGTTCAGACACATTCTATACGTATTATCAGATTTTATATCTAATAGATTATAAGGTTTAAAAGTATCCCAATGTATACTGACCTTACCTTGGGGAGACCAAATGAAGTATTATATGCTGGCAGTGTGATCTGGTTTAAATAATGTGACAGACATTGAATCTCTCAAAAACATCAAAAGAATGCCTTGAGAAAAACTTGGAAACTGCGTAACTGCCTTAAAATAGTGTGTGTGTGTGTGGGAGGTGGGGGGAGAGGGAATAATTATAAGGAACTTGGGCTAAGGGGGTTAATATTGTGTAAAATGTCCTACAATGGTATAAAAGATTGTAGCCATAATAAATAGAATCTTAAAGTGACACCTACAATATTTTACATGTAAAACACCGTGATTACAGATACTGACTGATTCCATGCAGGTTTTACATTGTGGGGCGTTGGATACCTTGGCAGCATTCAGAGGGGTTAAAAAAGCATTTGTGGAAGAGAAACAAGCCTCAGTTTGCGTTATATGAATTCCTGCGGGATAACGATCAGACCGGCTGCTAGAGGCCTTGGTACAGAAATAGATGAAAGACTGAAACAAACATTATGGAGATAAAAGATAATACATGGCGAGATTGGAATGGTTATACAGGAGAAAAGAGATGGCTTCGAGAAAGTCATGGCAAAACGAAGCCCAGAATCTCATAGAACTTAAAAGAATAAGTCAAGGACTTAGATTAAATTGTGCCAGGAAGGCAGTCTCATCATCGCGGTCAAGGAAGCACAGCTCATTATTCCAAAGTTAAAGACATATCTCTCGCCCGCCATCTCTCTGTTCCCTTCCGACAAGTCTCACTAAGTTACAATGTGTCACGGCGAACTCAGTCAGCAGAAGCCCTGCTGACCCGGGCACATTGTGGCACCTGCTTGTTCTCAAGGTCCGATCCCGGGCTTGTTAGTAGGATCATACATAACCATGCAGACGGCTTTTACGTTATGTCCTGTCTAATCAAGCGATGCTTAGCTCGGCTTGAGGAATGCAAAGTGAAGGAAATTAACCCAGACAGTCCTTTGTTTTACTGACTTAGGCCTCAAAGTAAAGGAAGGACAAAAATAAACCAAGCTGGGTCTCTAGGAGCGCATAATTCATTTCCAAACGACTTCAACGGAATATGGAGGAAACCTGACATTAGAAATTGGTGCACGATACAATTTATCTACATATAATGACTAAACTGCAAACTGGGGAGAAATGGTCATGAAACGGGACATTTTACGGTGACACATTACTGGGGATATCACATAGCTCCACAGCAATAATAGTCTCAGTAATGTGTCTGAGTGTATAACAGAGCTCCACAGCAATAATACTCCCAGTAATGTGTCTGAGTGTATAACAGAGCTCCACAGCAATAATACTCCCAGTAATGTGTCTGAGTGTATAACAGAGCTCCACAGCAATAATACTCCCAGTAATGTGTCTGAGTGTATAACAGAGCTCCACAGCAATAATACTCCCAGTAATGTGTCTGAGTGTATAACAGAGCTCCACAGTAATAATACTCCCAGTAATGTGTCTGAGTGTATAACAGAGCTCCAGCAGTGTATAACAGAGCTCCACAGCAATAATACTCCCAGTAATGTGTCTGAGTGTACAGCAATAACAGAGTGCCCACAGCAATAATACTCCCAGTAATGTGTCTGAGTGTATAACAGAGCTCCACAGCAATAATACTCCCAGTAATGTGTCTGAGTGTATAACAGAGCTCCACAGCAATAATACTCCCAGTAATGTGTCTGAGTGTATAACAGAGCTCCACAGCAATAATACTCCCAGTAATGTGTCTGAGTGTATAACAGAGCTCCACAGCAATAATACTCCCAGTAATGTGTCTGAGTGTATAACAGAGCTCCACAGCAATAATACTCCCAGTAATGTGTCTGAGTGTATAACAGAGCTCCACAGCAATAATACTCCCAGTAATGTGTCTGAGTGTATAACAGAGCTCCACAGCAATAATACTCCCAGTAATGTGTCTGAGTGTATAACAGAGCTCCACAGCAATAATACTCCCAGTAATGTGTCTGAGTGTATAACAGAGCTCCACAGCAATAATACTCCCAGTAATGTGTCTGAGTGTATAACAGAGCTCCACAGCAATAATACTCCCAGTAATGTGTCTGAGTGTATAACAGAGCTCCACAGCAATAATACTCCCAGTAATGTGTCTGAGTGTATAACAGAGCTCCACAGCAATAATACTCCCAGTAATGTGTCTGAGTGTATAACAGAGCTCCACAGCAATAATACTCCCAGTAATGTGTCTGAGTGTATAACAGAGCTCCACAGCAATAATACTCCCAGTAATGTGTCTGAGTGTATAACAGAGCTCCACAGCAATAATACTCCCAGTAATGTGTCTGAGTGTATAACAGAGCTCCACAGCAATAATACTCCCAGTAATGTGTCCAGAGCCCCCAGCAATAATACTCCCAGTAATGTCTGAGTGTATAACAGAGCTCCACAGCAATAATACTCCCAGTAATGTGTCTGAGTGTATAACAGAGCTCCACAGCAATAATACTCCCAGTAATGTGTCTGAGTGTTTAACAGAGCTCCACAGCAATAATACTCCCAGTAATGTGTCTGAGTGTATAACAGAGCTCCACAGCAATAATACTCCAGTAATGTGTCTGAGTGTATAACAGAGCTCCACAGTATAATACTCCCAGTAATGTGTCTGAGTGTATAACAGAGCTCCGCAGCAGTAATAATAACAGATAATACTCCCAGTAATGTGTCTGAGTGTATAACAGAGCTCCACAGCAATAATACTCCCAGTAATGTGTCTGAGTGTATAACAGAGCTCCACAGCAATAATACTCCCAGTAATGTGTCTGAGTGTATAACAGAGCTCCACAGCAATAACAGTAATGTGTCTGAGTGTATAACCAGCTCCACAGCAATAATACTCCAGTAATGTGTCTGAGTGTATAACAGAGCTCCACAGCAATAATACTCCCAGTAATGTGTCTGAGTGTATAACAGAGCTCCACAGCAATAATACTCCCAGTAATGTGTCTGAGTGTATAACAGAGCTCCACAGCAATAATACTCCCAGTAATGTGTCTGAGTGTATAACAGAGCTCCACAGCAATAATACTCCCAGTAATGTGTCTGAGCTCCACAGCAATAATACTCCCAGTAATGTGTCTGAGTGTATAACAGAGCTCCACAGCAATAATACTCCCAGTAATGTGTCTGAGTGTATAACAGAGCTCCACAGCAATAATACTCCCAGTAATGTGTCTGAGTGTATAACAGAGCTCCACAGCAATAATACTCCCAGTAATGTGTCTGAGTGTATAACAGAGCTCCACAGCAATAATACTCCCAGTAATGTGTCTGAGTGTGTAACAGAGCCCCACAGCAATAATACCCCAGTAATGTGTCTGAGTGTATTACAGAGCACAGCAATAATACTCCCAGTAATGTGTCTGAGTGTATAACAGAGCTCACAGCTATAATACTCCCAGTAATGTGTCTGAGTGTATAACAGAGCTCCACAGCAATAATACTCCCAGTAATGTGTCTGAGTGTATACAGAGCTCCACAGCAATAATACTCCCAGTAATGTGTCTGAGTGTATAACAGAGCTCCACAGCAAATACCCCAGTAATGTGTCTGAGTGTATAAATAGAGCCCACTCCCAGTAATGTGCAATAACAGAGCTCCATAATACTCCCAGTAATGTGTCTGAGTTATAACAGAGCTCCAGCAGTGTCTGAATAACAGAGCTAGCAATAATACTCCCAGTAATGTGTCAGAGCTCCACCGCAATAATACTCCCAGTAATGTGTCTGAGTGTATAACAGAGCTCCACAGCAATAATACTCCCAGTAATGTGTCTGAGTGTATAACAGAGCTCCACAGCTATAATACTCCCAGTAATGTCTGAGTGTATAACAGAGCTCCACAGCAATAATACTCCCAGTACTGAGTGTATAACAGAGCCAGCAATAATACTTAATGTGTCTGAGTGTATAACAGCTCCACAGCAATAATACTCCAATGTGTCTGAGTGTATAACAGAGCTCCACAGCAATAATACTCCCAGTAATGTGTCTGAGTGTATAACAGAGCTCCACAGCAATAATACTCCCAGTAATGTGTCTGAGTGTATAACAGAGCTCCACAGCAATAATACTCCCAGTAATGTGTCTGAGTGTATAACAGAGCTCCACAGCAATAATACTCCCAGTAATGTGTCTGAGTGTATAACAGAGCTCCACAGCAATAATACTCCCAGTAATGTGTCTGAGTGTGTAACAGAGCTCCACAGCAATAATACTCCCAGTAATGTGTCTGAGTGTATATCCACAGCAATAATACTCCCAGTAATGTGTCTGAGTGTGTAACAGAGCTCCACAGCAATAATACTCCCAGTAACGTGTCTACAATAAATGTGTTTAGAAATCAGTCTGTGTAAATAAGATACATTTACATTAGTTGCAATACATTGTTATTAGTTACCTAAAATCTCTCAGAGCAGCCCCGCCCCTAGCCACACCCCCACTCACCTAGAACAGCTCCCAGGCCACACCCACACCAAGGACAGCCCCGCCCTTGGCCACACACCCTTACAGTGTCCCCCTTTGTCAATATGAAATGTTGGAACCAGCGACATCGATGTAGAAGCTTAAAACGTAACCAAAACATAATCTACATTGTAATATGTATCCCATACATCAAACAACCCAAAGAATACACTGAATATTAAACTCGGCTCCTGGGAGCCTATCACACTCTGTAGACTTGGCATTTCTGAATATTGTATTAAGATATATTCACACAATTCAATGAAATTCAAACACATTCAAAATATATCACAATACAAAGTACGGACCGCTCTGTCTAAAAGTTGCCAAAAATGAGCTCCAGGAGCTGAAGAAGGTCCCCAGGATGGTGGTATCTGCTTTAGATAAGCGTACAGTGGGACCTCGGTTTACAAACGCCTCTGTTAACATAATTTTTGGTTTACAAATTAAAATCCATTGAAAATAATGCCTCGGTTTACAAAAAAAATTCGCAAATTTTCCCCAGGATGCATTGCACCAGGGAGGTTTATAGTGCCGCCCCCTGCACGCTGGAGCCTGTGGGTAGCACGTGGCGTCGAGTGTGGAGGTGTTGGTGCGGCTTTTGCATCAAATTTTGGAGCCATTGTGGAAATTTTTTCAATTGTTTGGGGACTTTTTGGTGCATTTCTCAAGCTGTGGAAAGGTAGGGAGCTGAGCTTTGCCGTTGGCATGCCTTTTACTGTGTGTTCTGCATTGTGGGTTGGTTTCCATACCAGCTCATTATGACTTTTTTCTGACCTCCAGAACGGATTAATTGGTTTTCAATGCATTCCTATGGGAAACCGTGTTTCAGTTTACAACCGAGGTACCACTGTATCTCCTTTTTCAGATCTTCTCTACACCCCTGTACACCAAGCAGGCATGCCACATTCTTTGTGAATAAATAATTATACTTGACTTTTAAGTCTGTAAATTTTGTGAGGAATCTTCTTATAATACAGAATTGTTTGAACACGGTAATATACCTGGAGACAAATTATTCAGGACGGGATGTGTAGAATTTTTTGATTGGGTAATTATTGAAGTCAACAGAACACACTCTCCTGACAGCCTACTGAATTCAGCCACACTTTAGCCAACATCAAACACAGCACAAACTACGATACCAAGAGACCAAAAAAATCCTAAGGAGTTCCATTTATTAGATTTACATTTTTTGGATAATCAACCAAGTTTTCACCCGTTACCAGCTCGGGAGCTCAGTAAATACACCAATACTGGACCTTATCGAATGATGCACATTCCACATTCTAGGTGATGGATGTAATCTGGCTTTGCCCACTCCGTGGGTCTACGCTACAGGCATATCCAGCTTTCCAGAAGAATACTGTTGATCTCCAAAATGCTTTAAGGATGATTGCCCAAATTTACAGGGGTGGATATTGGATGGATTGCCCAATTATGGAAACAAAACGTAATTATTTTGGTTAGTGAATGTAAATCAACAGAAATTTTCTAAGGAAGAAAGAAAATGAAGTCCTCCGGTAGAAAGCCATTCTTGCTCTGCAGAGAATGTTACGCCCCTTATTTAGTGCCAAAATCATTAAAAAAATAATAATCCTAAAAACACCAATACAGTACCAGGGCTGCCAAATATTCAACTTATAAAGTAATACCAGAGAGCTAAAAATTGTCTATTTACAAAGTGTCTTATGCACACAGAAGGTCTTCTATACACATCAAAGACAGACTGGCGTTTCATCCACCAAATGAATAGATTCCGCAGCAGTTTGGCAATGAGGATGGGTGGTGGTTAAGGCGTCGTAAGGTGAATGAAGTGCAGTATGGACAGTTGGAGAGGTCCGTGTTTCTCGGCGTCTCCAATGGCACATGTGGTCAGAATCTGTCCTTTGCTCCATGGAATGAATCTCTCCTGAGACCTCTCCAATGGCATGGTGCAAGTCCTGCAAAAGGAAGCTTTATAAATAAATGTTTGAAGGGTTATTTAACGGTTTCTGGCAGAAACTGTAGCAAAATAGTATAAACATTCTTTTTACGAAGACAGCCCAATATAACCCCTGATGCCCCACCAGACTTAAAGCTATCAAGACAGGCCCTTGCTATTATTATGATACAATGTTACTCCTATAGCCCACGTCTTGCATTACCAACCCATTAAAGGAACACTATAGTCACCTAAAGTACTTTAGCTAAATAAAGCAGTTTTAGTGTATAGATCATCCCCCTGCAATTTCACTGCTCAATTCACTGTCATTTAGGAGTTAAATCACTTTGTTTCTGTTTATGCAGCCCTAGCCACACCTCCCCTGGCTATGATTGACAGAGTCTGCATGAAAAAAAAAACTGGTTTCACTTTCAAACAGATGTAATTTACCTTAAATAATTGTATCTCAATCTCTAAATTGAACTTTAATCACATACAGGAGGCTCTTGCAGGGTCTAGCAAGCTATTAACATAGCAGGGGATAAGAAAATCTTAATTAAACAGAACTTGCAATAAAGAAAGCCTAAATAGGGCTCTCTTTACAGGAAGTGTTTATGGAAGGCTGTGCAAGTCACATGCAGGGAGGTGTGACTAGGGTTCATAAACAAAGGGATTTAACTCCTAAATGGCAGAGGATTGAGCAGTGAGGATGCAGGGGCATGCTCTATACACCAAAACTGCTTCATTAAGCTAAAGTTGTTCAGGTGACTATAGTGTCCTTTTAAACTGAAAAACTAAAAGAATCTGTGTTTGCCATCCATAATTCATGTTTTATAGTCACTGAACGCCTATTGTAATAACCATTATTCTAGATCGCAAGCTCTGTTTTAGCGTAACACTATGACACATAGAAATTAAAGCAAACTGGTTTAAAAATCGATATTGCTTTAAAAGCAAGGGGTTTATCTACTAAACAGAGATCTGCATCGAGTATACGTTCCAATCTTGCAATATTTAAAACAAGATATAAAAAAATAAGCTCACATTTTCAAACCACTTGCCCACTCACTGCCACTGTTTAGTGGATAACCCCCATAATCTTTTACTCATTTAAAATAGTATCAATAAAGAAACATTTTATAACTAGGTGAAAGATTTAGATTGTGCAAACGATTTACATCTCACAATTCAATATTGTGAGAAAACGACAGATAAATTGATGGCCGATCTGACAATAGTCGGAATCTCTGAGCAGCCAATCAGAGTACAGCATTGATTTCATGCGGGTCAGAGTGTTTCTCCCTCGTCTCCCTCATTACTGCTTTATCTAAGAGCCATGAAGTGCAAGTCTTAAACTGTTGACATGAATAATAAAATGACAAAGCATTCAGCGCTAAGCAATAACTGGAACAGTCCAAACGGCAGCTAAATCACCGGAGCCGGGGTCTCTCCTCCCGTCCACAAACAGATGAAAGTACAAGGAGTGGTGCAGCGCCTAAAGTGTCCTTAAAAAATATATATAAAAGCAGAAGAAAAAAAAAGGAAAATATATAGTGTAGTATGTCACTGTCCAAATAAATAGAATAAAACTAAAGAGGTCTAGGAAATTGTGAGTGTTTCTTTTGTTTCATTCTATTTATTTGGACAGTGACATACTACACTATATAATCTCCTTTTTTCCCCCCGCTTTTATATATATATTTTAAGGACACTTTAGGCGCTGCACCACTCCTTGTACTTTCATGAATAATAAAATGTGTTTTAGTCTGGTATTTAACCAAAAGCCATTTTATTTCTGAGAGGGGCCAAAAACGTACAGTACAATCTACTCGCGATAACAGCAGAAAGTTAGATCTAGGATTAGAAAGGAGGAGAGTAAAGGATATTTACCGGGAATGTTTGTCTTTTCATACATTTCCTATAAGCTGGAGATAAAACAAGAAAAAGTCCAATTAAGGTAGAGCAAACATATCAAATTTCATACAAAACAAAAAGTCTAATTTATCCGATAGCGGATAGAGGAGCATTTAAAACAGTACATATTAGGGCAGGAAGTTTAGAACCCCTTCTGCTCCGGAGATGTGAGATTCGCCCATGTGCCTGAGGATTGGCTGGAAACCAAATCTTACTGCCATGTTGAAGGAATTATTCAAGCACCATAACTATTACAGCACGTCATAGTGATTATGGTGGCCTGAGTGCCTTGGTGTACTCCCAGAGTAAGTAGCCACACCGTTCGTGAACAGTTTGACAACTTACCTGGAGTCCACAAAGCACCAACTCTCTGAAGTCGGAAGATGCAGCATTCAGCGATGCCTGGTGGCACTGGCCCTGCGCGGCACGACTCTTCTGGCTCCAGAATAGGCTGTAGCAACAGTTAGTCAGGCAAGTTGGCAAATGATCTGACTACTTACCTTGAGAAGAGCCACTATACAGCTTGTTAAAGATTAATCTTTTGTAACCTCAACCTTTTGTAACGTCAAGGTCGCTTGTCGGCTAATAGCCCAATCTTTCTGCGGCCAATGGTATTTTCTGTTTAGTAGGAACTTGTTATATGTTACTTAGATTTGTGGGAGGGCCCGTATTTTGCAAATTCACCCAGTGATGCCATACTAGGAGAAGCTGCATTAATATCGAGCTCCAAATAATATCTAGGAACATGGTGAAACATTTAAAGCAATATAACACAAACTACTTTAATTTGAAACCAGTTCCCTGCGTAGCAGCTTCCACCGGCCCATAATACTAATAATAACGCTTACAGGTTTCCTTTAAATGCTCAGAAAAACAGACTGCAAGAGCATTTATTTTATAATTGCATTAATCAGTGCATTGCAACCACTAAACAATTTACATTAAGCCGTCTCCGTTGGATATTGCAGCCCGAGGCGTGTTTTATAAATCACAGAGGGTGTCCTGCAAGCACATTCTGATCAATTACCCAGGATTTCTTTCTGAACAAATAGCAAAATACTCCGAGAGGAACATCAGCAGTTACTCTGAATCAATGTTTAATATTTTCAAAATAAAAAACAAATTCCAGTTTGGGCGAAAATCTTCACGATCGAGTTCCATTATTCAAAATTTGGATCCAGTTTCTGCTGTTCAAAGACTTCCTGTAAACCTCCAGTCAGATATACAAGAATACTCGAAAACTCCACGGAGCCGGAATAGCTATGAAACAGAACCAGCATAGCCGTCTGCTTTTAAAGGGGCACTCCAAGTTATAAGTAAGAGTATTGCTTATAAAAGTTTCCCAACAAATGTAAAGCTAAAATGATATAAATGTAACTGGGCGTCCTCTAGACCTCTGTGGGGCAAAGTGCCGGGGACAGCCTTGCCCTCCGTTATCTATTACACCTCTATTGTCCCAAGTAATGAACGGCACAACTCCTGTGTACATATACACCCCGCTCCCCACTCGAGGCAAAACAGTTACTCACTGGGTCTGTGTTGAATGCCGCTACACTTCTTCGTATGTCGTTCTCACTTCCTCGGATAGGAATGAGGGACATACTGCCAAACATGCTGTCCAGTTGTGATGGCCGTGTTCTTGTTATTGAAGTCTGTTCACGCCAAAGACTGCCATGCTAGTTACAAATAAGACAGAAGACAAGAGCCCGTTAGACAGGTCCATGGATTAGGTTAACAAGGAATTGTTGTTCGTGGAATGTTCTGACAAGGATTGTCTACTTTGTTTTGGAATCGTTAATTAGGGTCCGTTAGTTAAGCAGAATGGATGCCACTTCAGAAAACCTTAGAGGGATCTTTACAGAGAGAGAACTTAATCTTTCTAACAGGAAGTAAAAAAATGGCAATGAAACTGTCTAAAAGTGAAAAGTGAGAAGATTTATCTCCCCAAACACTGCGTAATGGCCTTGATAAGCCAGGATTATGTAAAACTAAAATTCATAAATTTAGCAAATTTGTGGCATAGGACACATTTTAAAACCCTATTAAATTGCAGATGCAACACTACCAGAGAGATACTACGAAGACACTTGAATGTTTAGCTTTTTAAACCCTGGATACAGTTTGTACTGGCCAATACTCAATATAAAATGAAATGAGATTTGAGCCCTGTATCAGTTAATCAGAAATAAAATAAAATTATTTCTAGACACAGTCTTGGCGCCCGCTATAGCCATCACATTATTGTACAAAGTTACAAATGTTTAGTAATCCCGATAAGTGGTGCGTTTGTGACTGTGCAATACAGAGAATAATCTCACTCTGGAAAGCGGAGGGAGCTCCATATTACACACATTACAATAGCTATTCATTTTCTAAATATCATAAATGTAACCCGGCAGGAATCAATTCATTATCCCCTAATTTATCCCTTTTTAAAAAGACTAACGTTGCTTATTTCCACTGAATCTTTACAAATAGATAAAACAGAGACTATGAGCCCTTAGGGTTTGTATACAATGTGTCAGTTATTAAAACAGAAAATGTTATTGTACATTAAATATTTAAAACATAGAGTTTATTTCTTGTGTATATATACGTCCATGGATGACGGTTTGTTATATAACAATATCTTACACTTCTGGGGAAGCAATTCAGTCATGTAGATTTTATTTAACTATGCACACGTTATTTGGCTGGCTGCACTCCGATTATTAAATAAATAGCAATATAGATTTTCAGTTTAATTGGTAAAGCCACAGTGCAGTGTTTTGTTCTACATGTTTCCGAATTATTCTGGGACTCTGCAGCTGATTTCAGAGGGGATCCATGCACAGCATATTGAGAGCAGGGGAGAAAGATACCCAAACTGAGAAGTCCAGGTACTTAAAACTGAATAATGAATTGCATCAATTTCAAAATAAAAATGGTCTCATCAAGGCTTTGCCTTTAAATGATAAAGTAGTCACATTCTAGAGGCAGAAAAAGCAGGTAACTATGATTTTATTTCCTGTGTTCAAAGCCTACATTATGGGGAACACTGATTCAGCCAATCAGGATCCTATCCCTAGGAATTGGAATTAAAGAGTTGTGCATGCATATTTGAGAGATCTCGTGAGGTCATCACTGACATTGCAAGACCCTAGGACGTGTGCTGGCTGGGAATGCTTGTTAGACGTGTTCGTGGTCAGCACCTCCCCTAGACAAAAAACACGGTGAGTTCCTCACTCCTTCCACTCAGCCCCAGGATAGCACACAAGCTAAAAGGAAGCCCACTAAGTGTGGGTTAGTACATGTGGCTTATCACATTCTTCCTGCCAGCTGTTGGGGGATGTCTCCAATGTTACCGGTATGTGCCGAGGGACGTGTACTTTGTATATCCCTCCATTTATTCTGTATATAGTACAGTCATGGAATAGGTTCCGTAATTATTTAGTAATTCATGCCTCTGTTTAAAAAAATTCCCGTTGAGGTGGTATTCTACTACCAACAGATTTAGACGTATTTTGGCTGGCTACGCTTGATGGGTGTTTGGGTGCTCATGTTTGGCAGTCTCTGCGCTCTGAATTTGGGATTGAATTTCTATTTTATTATTCCATTTACATTACACTATGTGAGATGTGAATCCCCAATTTTGATTTCCCTGTTGCTATTTTGTACAAAATGGGCATTCAATGCAAAAAAATTAAATACATCTTTACTCTGTGTGACTGAAAGGCCCGGTGTCGTGGTCTTAAAGGAAAAATAGTGAACAAAACCCAGCATAAATAATTGTAATCTAACATTCACATACATATTAATCCCTGCTCCCCCTCTGACTGTACGCCCCCTGCTCCCCCTCTGACTGTGCAACCCCACCTGCCCCTCTGACTGTGTGCCCCCTGCTCCCCCTCTGACTGTGCAATCCCTGCTCCCCCTCTGACTGTGCAATCCCTGCTCCCCCTCTGACTGTGCAACCCCACCTGCTCCCCCTCTGACTGTGCTCCACCTCTGACTGTGCTCCCCCTCTGACTGTGTCCCCCAGCTCCTCCTCTGACTGTGCTCCCCCTCTGACTGTGCAATCCCTGCTCCCCCTCTGACGGTGCAACCCCACCTGCTTCCCCTCTGACTGTGCTCCACCTCTGACTGTGCTCCCCCTGCTCCCCCTCTGACTGTGTCCCCCAGCTCCTCCTCTGACTGTGCTCCCCCTCTGACTGTGCAATCCCTGCTCCTCTGACTGTGCAACCCCACCTGCCCCTCTGACTGTGCACCCCCTGCTCCTGACTGTGCTACCCCGCTCCCCCTCCTGACTGTGCGCCCCTGCTCCCTCTGACTGTGTGCCCTTCTGCTCCCTCTGACTGTGCAACCACACCTGCCCTCTGACTGTGCAACCCCACCTGCCCCTCTGACTGTGCAACCCCACCTGCCCTCTGACTTTGCTTCCCTTGCTCCCCCTCTGACTGTGCAATCCCTGCTCTCTTACCTCTCCCTCTGACTGTGCCCCCCCTCTGACTGTGCTCCCCCTGCTTCCCTACCTCCCCCTCAGAAAATAAAAAGAAAAAAAAGCCAAGTGATGCGTGTCCCTATAAAGTGGTATCTGGTGCACAGACAATATTAACTGTAGAGTTTCCTGTACCTGTACGTGAATGAAAGCCGCGTACCACTCTCTCATGTCTGCCACCGTATCACAGCAGGCGTACCTGAAAGATAAAAATAATAAGATGAAAACCTGCTCCGAGGACCAAACAGACTGCGGCAGCAGGCAGTACAACCCCTTCAAGAATTCCCTGATACACGGTATAGACGAATGTACTCCTTACAGAGCCACTGAAAATCGATTCTTACCAAGTAAAACCACACGTGGCCAGAGGACTGGCGGCAAACAAGACAAACAGTGACTGAACAGTATTAACCCTGGAACTGCTAAGTGGTTGATCTCTTTCAATTTAATACAATATTACTAATAAGTAATTGCAGGAATACGGTCACATGGGGTCCCCCTGGGTGTTACAAAACACAGGGCATTATACCAGCCCCCCCTTTACACAGACATCTTGTGCGAGGGACAGAGAGCCTAAGCGAGGGACAGGCAGCCCATGCGAGGGACAGGCAGCCCCATGCGAGGGACAGACCGCCCCTGCGAGGGACAGACCGCCCCTACGAGGGACAGTAGTGATTGGACTTCCGTCCATAGTGGACGTTTCCCAGCGCAGGTCCACTACACGTGGGGCATAGTCCCCTCTTCTTTCATGCATCTCAAGCATGTCGAAGGTGACATTGGGTATATTTTGCTCAGTTTGTGGGGTGTTAAATACCAACGATAAATAAGTTTTCTGTGTGCCTCTATGTGCGTATAGCACCTAGTCCATTTTGACAGGTGGTTAAGTGCTCGGAGCCATCTAGTCTCTGTTAGTATAACTCCACTATCCCTCTCCCAATGGGATCTACAGGGTTCTGGTCTTACGGGTTGCAATTCTAGTCCCGCTTTGTAGCACAGGGACAAGGCCTTTGGTTTGGTTGGGGCATTTATGCACCTCTGCAACACTAATTGCGGGTTAAGGGGCAGATGGTTGGCTGTATTGGTGGCATCAGTGTAGATATGTGATAATAAGATGCTTTGCACCTGTAGGTACAAAAAAGTATCTCTGTCACCAAGGCCCCAGACCTTCTGAAGGTCCCGGAAAGTTTTCACTGTACGTCCCTCTAATAAGTGGTATATTTGTGTAATGCCCAAAGTTTTCCATTTGTCTAATGAGCCGATTGGGGATATGTTTTTGATCACCGTTATCGGCGCTTTAGGGTGGATCTTATCTCTATAACCAAGCTTGTGTAAGAAGTCATCCCATACACGCAAAGTTAATTGCGTAGTGGGGAGTAAGTCTCGTTCTGGAGTTCGAAGGGACTTCGGTGTCCACATATATTCAGTCATTGAGTAGTTCGTAAAATAGGCCCCTTCTAGATCTACCCACTGTGTCTGTCCTTTCGGTGTATGTAGGGTTACGCTTGCGGCTAGTAGTGAGGCCTGAAGGTATAGTCGAATGCTTGGTAAGCCCATGAGATTTCTGTAGTAGGGCGAGTGGCAGACTCGGCCTCTTACCTCCCCATACGAAAGAGCTACAGACCGATTGTAGGGTTTTACACCATGAGTGTGGGATTATAACTGGTAGCATGCGAAATATATATAATATGCGCGGGAGGGTAATCATTTTGAAGGCATTAATTTTACCTAGCCAGGATAGGTGTGCGTTTTTCCATTTTTGAGTGTCAGTTTTACACATCTGGATTAAAGGAGTGTAGTTGAATTTTGCTATACCCGCTAGGGAGGGGGTGATTTTAGTTCCCAAATGTGTGAGGGAGGATGTTCTCCAATCAAAGAGATATGACTCTTTCATTTTGAGCACTATCTTTTGTGGGAGCCCGACCGGTAAGGCTTGTGTTTTATCTTGGTTCAATTTGTAGTGTGATATAGTCCCGAACTCTTTCAATAATGCCAATAGATGGGGTAGAGCCGACATAGGGTCTGACAGTGCTATAAAAATATCGTCTGCAAAGAGGGCGAGTTGGCAGTCTTGTCCTTTAGTTTGCACTCCCTGAATGTGTTTGTGGGGGCAGCCTTGCCGGGTCCCGTTAGTGATCAGGAATGGGTCCGACAGAAAGCAAAAAGCCGCCATAGGAGACCCTTGCGCCTGGGGCATTATACAGGGCCATGATTTGGGTAGTGATCTGCTCAGGGATATGAAACTTGGCCAAAACCGCATATATTGCCAGTGTAGTCTGTCAAAGGCCTTTTCCGCATCTAGCGCTAGGAAAAGGCCTCCGGTGCTCCTCCTCTCCATCACTGCCAGAATATCCAAGACCTTCCTGGAATTGTCTGAACCTTGTCTGCCCATCACAAATCCCGTTTGGTCATTGTGTATGAGCTTCGGTAGGAGAGGTGTTAAGCGGTTGCTGAGAAGCTTCGCATGTATCTTTGCATCACAGTTTAATAATGAGATTGGTCTAAAATTCTTGCAAGTAGTAGCAGTTTTCCCAGGTTTGGGTAGTGTTGAGATGTGGGCAAACAACATTTCTTAAGGTAAGGATCCATGATTAGCACTATGTTGGAAAAGGCCTAAGAGGTGTGAAGAGAGTACATGAGAAAAGGTGCAATAATACTCGTTGGAGTGCCTGGGGATTCAGGGCCGGCGCGTCCATAAGGCGCCCCTTAGGGCGCGCGGGCTCTGGGCGCGCAATATTTCAGTGACCGGCAGGAGGGAAGCTCTCCCTCCTGCCAGGCCACCATCTCAACCGCCGGCGCAGCAGTGCTGTGATCAGGCGCGGCGAGGGAGCTCTAACCTCTCTGCTCCCTCGCGCGCTGTCTGCTGATGCCGCGGGAGCCGGACTATGACGTCATCCCACAGCATCAGTAGGCAGCCCGCGAGGGAGCAGAGTGTGGAGATTAGAGCTCCCTCGCCGCGCCTGATCACAGCACTGCCGCACGCCTCTCAGCAGCCCCAGCCCCCCAGCCCTCAGGGACCGATCCATCATCCACACCAGCTCTCCAGGTAGGGAGGCTGGGTGGCAAATGTGTATTTATAAAATAATTAGTGAATGTATGTGATGTGTGTCTGTGAGTGACAGAGTGTGTGTGTCTGTGAGTGACTGTGTGTGTGAGTGACAGAGTGTGGGTGTCTGTGAGTGACTGAGCGTGTGTGTCTGTGAGTGACTGTGTGTGTGAGTGACAGAGTGTGTGTGTCTGTGAGTGACAGAGTGTGTGTGTCTGTGAGTGACTGAGTGTGTGTGTCTGTGAGTGACTGTGTGTGTCTGAGTGACTGAGCATGTGTGTGAGTGACAAAGTGTGTGTGTCTGTGAGTGACTGTGTGTTTGAGTGACAGAGTGTGTGTGTGTCTGTGAGTGACTGAGCGTGTGTCTGTGAGTGACTGAGCGTGTGTGTCTGTGAGTGACTGAGCGTGTGAGTGACAGAGTGTGTGTATCTGTGAGTGACTGTGTGTGTGAGTGACAGAGTTTGTGTGTCTGTGAGTGACAGAGTGTGTGTGTGTGTGAGTGACAGAGTGTGAGTGTCTGTGAGTGAGAGAGCGTCTGTGTGTGTGTGTGTGAGTGACTGAGTGTGTGTGTGTGTGAGAGTGAGTCTGTGTGTGAGTCTGTGAGTGAGTGTGTGTGTCTGAGTGACTGAGCGTGTGTGTGAGTGACAAAGTGTGTGTGTCTGTGAGTGACTGTGTGTTTGAGTGACAGAGTGTGTGTGTGTGTCTGTGAGTGAGTGAGCGTGTGTCTGTGAGTGACTGAGCGTGTGTGTCTGTGAGTGACTGTGTGTGTGAGTGACAGAGTGTGTGTATCTGTGAGTGACTGTGTGTGTGAGTGACAGAGTTTGTGTGTCTGTGAGTGACAGTGTGTGTGAGTGACAGAGTTTGTGTGTCTGTGAGTGACAGAGTGTGTGTGTCTGTGAGTGACAGAGCGTCTGTGTGTGTCTGTGAGTGACTGAGTGTGTGTGTGTGTGAGTGCATCTGTGTGTGTGTGTCTGTGAGTGATTGTATGAGTGTGTCTGCATGTGAGTGTATGAGTGTGTCTGTCAGTGTATGATGAGTGTGTTTGTCAGTGTATGAGTGTGTGTCTGTCAAATCAGTGAGAGTATGTTTGTCATTGAGTCTGTGTGTGACTATCAGTGTGTCTGTCAATGAGTGTCAATCAGTGTGGGTCTGTCAGTGTCAATGAATGAGTGTGTGACAAATCAATGAGTCTGTGTCTGTCAGTGACGTCTGTGTGTTTGTCATTGAGTGTTGACTGTCAGTGTGTACAGAGTGTAACGGAGCAGAGCGCGGTACAGGAGCTTCTGTTTCCTGTACGTGGCCAGACTGACAGGAGGTGCTCAAAGAGAGAGCACTCCCTGTCAGTCCGGCCGGGTACAGAAAATTGAAGCTCCTTTAGGGGATCTGCTCCGCTCGGCAATGCAACAATAGAGGTAGTAGGCACACCAGGAAGGGGAGTGTGACCACTAAAGGGGTGTGGGGTGCACCAAGGGACAGAATGGGAGAGAAACACCAAGAGACAGGGAAAAGAGGGGGGAGAAGAACACTGAGGGACAGGGAAGGGACCACTAATGGTTGGGGAGGGGAGAGGGGCTGGTTAAGAGGCACATAGGTGAAGATGTTTTTTTTTTTGGGGGGGAGGGGGAGGGGCGGAAAGATGCATCTTCGCCTATGTACCTAAAAATCCAAGCACCGGCCCTGTGGGGATTTATGTGTTGGTAGTGAGGATACAGTCACTAACACCTCCTCGAGTGTGAAGGGTTTGTTGAGGTATGCTATGTCTTCAGGGAGTAGGGTCGGTAGTTTGAGATCGGAAAGGAAGGACTCTATGGCGTCAGCTGTGGGAACATCAGTTGACTGATCATCTTTCAGCTTATATAAGGATTTGTAGTAGGTAGCAAATTCGTTGGCTATACCGTCAGTGTCAAGTATGCGAGTCCCTTGTGAGTTTTCGAGGTAAGCGATTCTGGAAGTGATGGATCATGTTTTTAGTTGTGATGCCAACTTGGCTCCCGCTTTATTGCCTGAAGCAAAAAAGTTGTGTTTCAATTTTCTTACAATATGTGGTTTTGGAAAATTCTAAGTCTCTGAGTTGTTGTTGTAGTACTCTGGAGTGGCTAGAGTGAGTTGGGTTATGCTTATTGATGTGTGTTATGGTTGTCAGTTCTGTGAGTATATATGTATAGGTTTTTTTGGCGTTGTTTTTTTGCATAACTGGCATGTTTAATAAAACAGCCTCTGATGACCGCCTTATGCGCCAGCCAGACATTATTTGCTGAGGAATCAGGGGTTTTATTTTCTAGGAAGTAATTTCATAAGTCTCGTTCTATCTGTGCCACAATAGCTGGGTCTGTAAAGAGGCTTTCAGTTAAACACCAACTACCCTGGCCTCTGGTGTTAAATTGTTCCCTCAATTGCATGATAATTGGGGCATGGTCTGACCACCTGATTAAGACAATCTGTGTGTCTAGTACTCGGGGGAAGGAGGTGGCGAGGATTAGAAATCGGTCAATTCTAGAGTAACATCTATGTGCTGCTGTGTAACATGAGTAAACCCTTTCCAGTGGGTGTGATAGTCTCCACGGATCAATAAAATTGCGGGACATCAAGGTGTGGCGGACGTGGGAGGATTGAATCTATCTGCGCTTCCGTGTGTGGGCTAGAATGTCCCTATGTTGGGAGGAATCCAAGTCGGCATCTAGCAAAAAATTGGTATCGCCCCCCACAATCACTTCTCCGAAAGTGTGTGTATTGGCTAATGCCAAGACAGTTTCTAAGAAAGCAAGTTGGTTTTCATTACGGCTATATACATTGATAAAAGTAAAGGGGTTATTGTTGATATAACATTGTAGAATTAGATCCCTTCCTTTTTTGTCACTGATTTTCCTGACTAGGGAGAATACAACATCCTTACTAACTAAAATAGACACTCCTTTTTTTTTTTGTGGTGTAGCATAAATGGAAATTGACAGGGAAATGCTTAGAGGTAAAATTAGGGCGATGACCCCACATGAAGTGTGCCTCCTGATAAAAGACTATGTGTGCATTGTGGGACTTTGCCTCCTCCAGTGCCAGTCGCCTTTTATTGGGCGAATTAAGCCCTTTCGCATTTAGCGAGAAAAGGTTTAGTACCATGGGGTGTTAGGTCGCTGAATGCGAGAGGGCAACTGACGTGTGGTCGGTGGAGAGCTAGACCTCCACATCTCAGGAGAAATCTTCAAGTACTTAGACCATAATGGAAAATTGTGATTTTCTTGTGTTGACCATAAACATGAAATTAAGAAACTCAAATGAAAAAAATAACTATATACATAAGACCGTTTGTCAACTAGTGTAATAACATGTGTGGCTTGTTCCCAAAGCCACCCCTGGGGTGTATGGTCAATTTAGTGGTTTGGCCAGAAGTGTATATCGCTATCTGGCGTATATGGGACAGTAGTCCCCGACCGTGGCGTTATTCCTGACATTTTATAAACAACCCATAAGTAGGTTGGCATCAATTACCATATATGGCAGACTAGTAATGTCCCCTCTCTAAATCACATCAAGCGTAGAAAAAAGAAAACCATAATGACAATAAGAGAAAGGTGAGAGAGAGAGAGAGGAGAGCAAACCATCGTAATTCTGCATAATTGGTAGTGGCATGAAAGAGCAGTTACCCAGCCCTTTATTAAGGGTGCCTTGGTGTGCTTAATGTGGGTGACCTTGGACCAGTCTCTGTTAAGTTTGACAGGAGAGCGTCCATTTGGTGGAGGTTTTTCCACAGCTTGAACTGGTATATTCCATTCTAAGAGTAGCTTTTTGCCGTCATCAGGGGAGAGGATGGTCTTATCTGTACAGTTTCTCTTCACCAGCAGTTTGGCTGGAAAGCCCCATTTGTAGGGTATGTTGGCCGACCTCAGTGCTGCTGTGATGGGGGAAAAGGTTTTCCGTTTGGACATAGTAGCGGAGGATAAGTCTATAAAAAGCTTGATGTGCTCAAATGGGCCTGGTGATGGTGTTTGGCTCCTTGATGCCTGCATGATTTTGTCCTTAGTGGTGTATTAGTGGAGTTTAGTGATCCCCGGGGACAGTGGGACCTAAATGTCTAGGTCTGGGCAGACGGTGTGTGCGGTCTAATAATACGTCCGTATCTGTGAGGGCTGGTATATAGGCCCAGAATAGATCTTGGACATAGGCGGTTAACTCACGTGGCGTCACGGATTCTGGGATCCCCCTTATCTGCACATTATTGCGCCGGTCCCGGTCTTCATGGTCTGCGACCTTTTCCTCCAGGGCTTTAAGCTTGTTCTCTAGGGAAGTATAGGCTTCTGCCAAGTTGTTATGGGCATCCACAATCTTTTCTGCCCTTTCTTCTAAGTGCGCCATCCGGTCACCTAGAGATTGTATATCTACTCTGATGTCTGTTGCTACTTGGAGCAAGTCAGTGTGGAAGGTTGTTTTCAAGTCCACTAGCATGGCTTGTAAAGTGGTGTTTGTGACCGTTTGAGTAAGGTCAGGTGCACTGTGCGATCAGCGCCATCTTGGATTTTGGCCCTGCACCTCTGTGTGTGTGTAAGATGCATTTGGATCGAGCACTGCTTCAATTTGTTGCTCATTTTCGCTGCCATAGGTGTGCAGGGTGATTACCTGCTTGTGGTGTTATTTTGCTGGGGTTGAAAGCTGTTTAGACACGCTGTGAACACCGCCGGTCGGAGGAGCTCAGGATTCACACGTTCGTGCTCGTTCTCTGCTAGGCCACGCCCCCCAATTCTTGTTTTTTTATAGCAATATTAATCATTTTAATTTATTTACTTTTATGTTTTCCATTTGATCTTCATTGACACAGTGACTGCAGTGGCACATATTATTCTTGCCATTTATATAGTGCCAACAGATTCCGTAGCACGTTACATAGAGTCCCTCTCAGCAGTTTAGTCATTTTAGGGGCCCCTTCTAGCAACATAGAGACCAGGAGCAGTGAGAGCCCATGAAATGCTTGCCACACACTCCACAGGCCATAGGCTGTAACTACAGCGCTTTGGAATTTGTTGGCGCTACGTAGATAATAATTCTAACCTGGGCACTGATACACAGTTGTTATGGTGCTTGGAGCGACTGTTTAATCATAGGCTTGTGCAACACATTACATCCCAATACAATGCAAAACACACATTTTTGCTTTAGGGATAACTAGATGTATACAGAGTTACTATACTTAACAAGCAACAAAATCTTCTAGCCATCAGGCCCACCAGAGCCTTAGGGTGCACTGGCTCAGTCTGGAAATACATGCAGCGCTATGAAGTGCAGATAAACACAGGAAATGCATGTTCCCTCTAAGGACAATCACTGTGACATGCCGCCACCAATCAGCATGTGCCAGCAGGGTCCTACTCACTGTAAACCCAACTCAATTAAAGAGCACTCGGGTCAAACCACCAATTCACCATGCGCAGCACTGCGGGGGAACCAGGCAGCAGAGAGTCCGATTAGGGTCAAATCAATAAAAGCTGGCTTAGGATGGGTTAAAACGTTTTTAGGATATGCGACTCCAAAGTGTCCAGGACACTTCTCCTCTGGAGCTCTGCCTGTTCTGGATAATGCATATTGGCCCCAGGGGGCCCCATTATCCTACCAGCAGGAGACAGCCATTTAAAGTCATCAAGGCTAATTGTGGAAAATCAGCCTCTTTTCAATATCAAAAGGTATTTTAACCCTCTGAGGGTCGGTCCGTTGATCTGTGCAACAGCTGGGCACGAAGAGTTAACCCCTTCACTATCAAATTACAAAATGAAGGTCAGCTTGGGGATTAATGCAGCTGGGAGGGAAAGGGTTAAATAGGAGAACGCTATAGGAGGTATCACAAAAAGGATTGTCTGGATTATTTCTGTGAGTGATGGGAGTTGTGTAAAATGAGTTATTGTCATGCACATATTATACACAGCAATAAATGGTGTAGGTGTTAAGGAACAGCGCCGCGGGATACGGGATTAATAATCCTAGTTTCATCGTCCTCTAACAGCGCAGCATGTCTCTCAGCCTTTGAACGAGCACATTCCAAGTCTAAGATCGGTTTTCCCCCTCAGAGCAGTTACAGACAAGCTCCAAACTAAAAATCTGAATTAGAAAACTCTGAGTTTAGATTCCGATTCTAGTTATTTTTTTCCCCAATGCCTTCTTACAGGCAGAGAACAGTATTTTTTCTCAAAGCATTAGCATTCATAACCGCTCGGCTGTAATTTAAAGTTGCAGTAGCAATACAGCTAGAGAGAGACCAGGCTGCAGGAGTCTGGAGGGTCCATTGGTTTGTGTCAAACTGCTCGAAAATGGCACCATAACCACTACAACGGGCTGATTGTCCAGAATTGATATTAGCTAGCCCTGGACTCTTCTTTCAGGCTGGCTAATGACGACCAAATGACGCAACTCTTTAAAATAAGGTCTGGCAGCCGGTGTTTAGCAAATACATGGCCCCGGGGTTATCATTTTACCTCCTAATGGACGACTTGGAAAGAGAATGGTGGGTGTGTTTTTCTTTCTTCTTGATAAGCAAATACAGGAACCCAGAAGGATTAAACAGACATTGGGATTACCATTTAGATAGAAATGTCAAAATTCCATTTACTGATGCCCTCCCCCCCAAAAATGTACAAAAAACAAAAGCTCGACATCTCGACATCTTTATGGGCTATATTTCTTGCAGGCTTTCATGTGGCTCACAGTAAGGTGAGGCTTCAGTCTTGCCAGTCTGCCATAAAGACCAGATCGGTGGAGTATTGCCGTGATGGTTGTCTTTATGCAAATTTCCCATCTCCACAAACGATCTATGGAGCTCACTCAGGCTGATCATCTTGTTCTTGGTCACCTATCCCACCAAAATTCTTCTTCCTAAATTGCTCAGTTTAGCCAGGTGGCCAGTTCCAGAAAGAGTCATGGTTGTTCCAAACTTCTTCACTTTAAGAATTATGGAGGAAACTAGAATTGTGGAAACCTTTAATGAAGCCAAACATTTTTATAGACTTTCCCAGACACAATCCTGACACAATCCACACACAAACCTGTCTCCAAGCTCACCCTCAGTTCCTTTAGTAGCATGGCTTGGGTTTTATTCTGATCTGCTGGAGGTTGGCCAGAAGTTCCTTCAGTGCTGCGGTGGTCACTGGAGATGTGTCCGGATTCAGTTGAGCCAGTGGGGGTGGACGCGTGGTGGGTATTTCCTCCATCTCCCCCAAGTAGTCAGATAGCTTAGAGTACGTTTCCGGGTAAGCGGCCATCTTGGTCCCAGCTGTGCCATGTGCCTGTCTTCACATATCTCTGATGTTTAAGCCCATCCACGGCTTGTCAGCTTTTTGCTTTTTTGTCTTGCGCCCCATGCTATCCTCGCCTCAACTGGGGTAGTAGTCTCGGGCACCAAGTCGGGTAATTTCTGTGTGTAATGTGGGTTTTTGATGCTCGGTGTTACGGAGCTTGCAAGGGATGCGACCGCTCAGCTCGGAAGTTTCGGCTCTGCCCCTGGTGTATGTTTTGTAAGGAGCTCGAGATGGCTTTAAAAGTAACACTAAAGATTTACGAATACAAACCTGTCCATGAACACTCCCCATTTTGCTACACTCCCCATTTGTAGCAAAAAGCTGGAAAAAAAATTTTTTTCCCTCAGAGCTCACGCTTTGCTCCAGCGATGTCATCCAGCTTTAATGGATGCTCCTCTTTCAGGAGCACTGAGGATAGACGTGCATGCGCGGCATGAGCTGCCTTTGGTCACATAACCAGGTTTCACTCAATCGTAGCAGAGGAAGTGGCTCTCATTGTGGCAGCCAATAAAGGTGGATTTAACCATTGTCCTATCTACAAAACTGACATGTTTAAAACGGCAACATTGAGATGGTCCATGTGACTTTAGTGGTCCTTTAACTAGAGAGACACTGTGCGGCTTCTCAAATACAATGAGATTTACAGAAATCTACCTTTATCTTGCCTTAATAATCATCTGTCTGAACTACTCGGCAGGCACAAACACATGTCGTTTCATTGTGGAATTAAAAACAAAACACAGGAAACCGTTGTTTTTTGGTTTTTTTAAATGACTGATCTTCTTTACTTTCTTCTCATTCTGTGAAATATATTTCTAGACTAGCTATTTAACAGATAACAGTTTTACTAGAGAGAATCATAATTCTTTGCTTCCCTTGGTTAGAAAAAGTAAAGATTACTTACCACTGAGACCTCTCATTTCGATCATTCTCATAGATAATGGTAAAAACAAAGCTAGAAAATAAAAACAAATATATTAACTTACCGCAGTATTAAACGGAGATAGGCAGAGATCAGAAAGGAAAGAAACGTGTGTGTGTGTGTGACCCTGTGTGTGTGTGTGACCCTGTGTGTGTGTGTGACCGTGTGTGTGTGTGTGTGACCCTGTGTGTGTGTGTGTGTGACCCTGTGTGTATATGAATGTGTGTTTTTGTATGAGTCTGTGAATGTGTATCTACAGCTGTAATCAAAATGATTCAACCCCCAGTGGAAATCAGACTTATTGTCAAAATTTTACAGACGTTCAGCTGTTTGCGATGAACAAATCAAAGAAAAGCAATTGAAAGCTCAGCACGATGAATGTTTCAAGTGGTTTCCCCAAACTCAACTGAAAGCGCAACTTATAATGACTTCTCCAGCCTCAAAATGATTCAAGCCCTTCATGGCAAGCATCTTTGGTACTTTGTATAGCACCCTTTCACTATGACCACTGCAAATAGAAACATAGAATGTGACGGCAGATAAGAACTATTCGGCCCATCTAGTCTGCCCAATTTTCTAAATACTTTCATTAGTCCCTGGCCTTATCTTATAGTTAGGATAGCCTTATGCCTATCCCACGCATGCTTAAACTCCTTTACTGTGTTAACCTCTACCACTTCAGCTGGAAGGCTATTCCATGCATCCACTACCCTCTCAGTAAAGTAATACTTCCTGATATTATTTTTAAACCTTTGTCCCTCTAATTTAAGACTATGTCCTCTTGTTGTGGTAGTTTTTCTTCTTTTAAATATAGTCTCCTCCTTTACTGTGTTGATTCCCTTTATATATTTAAATGTTTCTATCATATCCCCCCGTCTCGTCTTTCCTCCAAGCTATACATGTTAAGATCCTTTAACCTTTCCTGGTAAGTTTTATCCCGCAATCCATGAACCAGTTCAGTAGCCCTTCTCTGAACCCTCTCTAAGGTATCAATATCCTTCTGAAGATACGGTCTCCAGTACTGTGTACAATACTCCAAGAGAGGTCTCACCAGTGTTCTGTACAATGGCATGAGCACTTCCCTCTTTCTACTGCTAATACCTCTCCCTATACAACCAAGCATTCTGCTAGCATTTCCTGCTGCTCTATTACATTGTCTGCCTACCTTTAAGTCATCAGAAATAATCACCCCTAAATCCCTTTCCTCATATGTTGAGGTTAGGACTCTATCAAATATTCTGTACTCTGCCCTTGGGTTTTTACGTCCAAGATGCATTATCTTGCACTTGTCCACATTAAATGTCAGTTGCCACAACTCTGACCATTTTTCTAGTTAAGATGCATAGCCAGACACCAGGTTCTGGCAGCGTTCCGGAGGAATCTTAGCCCATTGTTCATCAGCAATAGCCTCCAGTTCAGTAATATTCTTTGGTTTGCGTACTGCAACTGCCTTCTTCAAATTCCACCAGAGATTTTCTTGGGGTTCAAGTCAGGTGACTGTGATGACCACTGTAGAATTTTCCAGGACTACTTTTGCCACCAAACCTTGGTGGAATTTGAGGTATGCTTGGGATCATTGTTTTGTTGTAAAGTCCAATGGCGCCCAAGCTTCAGTTTCCTCACAGATGGCAAGATGTTTTCTCTTATGATTTCCTGGTATTTCAATGACTCCATCTTGCCTTCCGCACACTGTAGATTGAGCACCATGCTTAACTGTAGGCAGAGTGTTCTTTTCAGTGTATGCTTCATTCTACGTCTTTCAGACATACCGCTAATCCACTGGGCCAAGGAGTTCCAGTTTTGATTCATCCTCCACAGAACAAAATCCCCAAACGTCTGTGGGTTATTTATATGATTTTGAGCATATTGGAACCAACGTTTCTTGTACTTTGGGTCTGTAGTGGTGTAGTCTTGGAGTTCTGGCTAGGAAACCCTCTGCATTTAGTGCGTGCCTTACTGTGCTCACTGTTGCCATCAAGTCTTGCTATAGGTCTTTTGCAGTCACTCAAGGGTTTTTTACAACCTGCCTTCTCAGAAATATGTCCTGGTAGTGACATATTTCTGTTCTTTCAACTTTGTACTTGCTAACTATGCTTTCAACAGTGTTTCAGGAGCATCCATTGCCTTCGCTATCTTTTTGTATTCGGTTTCTTGTTTGTGAAGGGCGATAATCTCTTCTCTTAACTATGTGGACCATTCTTTCAACTTAGACATATTTCTAACATGCAGGAAAACGTGACACTCAACAAACCTCTAGCCAGATCAGGTATTTTAAGTGTTCCAGCTCAAGCACACCTGGAGCAACTAATAAAAAATCCCTTGATCAGTGCATCAAGTGTGTTTGAGCCCCCACCTGTTTTGTATATTTGTGCTGTTGTGAGGGATTCTACTTAGGGGGTTGAATAATTTTAAGACTGGAGCAGTCATTATAAGCTGCATTTTGAGTTGAATTTGGGAAAACCACTTCAAGTATTTGTGCTGTTGAGTCATTTCAATTGCTTTTGTTAGATTTGTTCATTGCAAACAGCTGCAAGCCTCTAAATTTTAACAAACCTGATTTTCAATAGGGGTTGAATAATTTTGATTGCAAATGTATGTCCAAGTTTGTGTGCGAGTCTATGTGTGTGTATATATATCAATGTGTTTCTGTGCATGTGCCCGTGTGTGTGTGTGTGTGTATATTAATGTAAGCGTATAATTTTTCCAAACAAAGGGGGTTTAAGGAGTGTGACACAAAAACATTGCAAAAACCATAATGAAAAAAAAAAAAGAAATATAGCCAACTATAAAAAATCTATATATTTGTAGCTCGGATAGACGTCCTTGGTAGAAAGGTGCCTGTTGGTAGCCGCCTACTCTGCCTATTGGCCACTCCGGCCTTCACACTTTGCTATGATTTCTTTCCCGGTTACTGGATTATTGTGGCCCCTGGTTCTGTCTGATTCACATTGGTTTAACACCTTTTAATACTTAAACTTTGAAAACAATATGATGTGACAAAAGAAAACATTCATTTGAAGCTTATTAAAAAAAAAAAAAAAAAGAAAGAAAAGTAATATTTATATAGATACACAAATATAATTCTAAAGGAAAGCAGATTTTCTGTACTTATTAGAACCTGCTTTTTGTGCACAGAGACTAGGTTTGTATGGTAGCCCACTTTGATAAACGCAGTCACACGGAGAAACGATTTATATAGAACGTAAATGCTATAATTGTATTACACAACAATGATCTCAGACACCGTTTCCATAAATTGTGTATAACATTGGGTTATTTATCTAAGGCCGTTCGATACTTTGGGTATACTATTGTGTTATGTACCCGAGCAAAGTCATTATCTAAGGCACTTAGATACTTTGTATATGCTATAGTAATATGTGCATGTGCATAGCCCTTATCTAACGGACCGGTTTCATACTTCGTATATAATATAGTGTTATTATCTGCATAGCCCTTATCTAACACACCTGTTTCATACTTTGTATATAATATAGTGTTATTATCTGCACAGCGCTTATCTAACACACCTGTTTCATACTGTGTATATAATATTGTGTTATTACCTGCATAGCGCTTATCTAACACACCTGTTTCATACTGTGTATATAATATTGTGTTATTATCTGCATAGCACTTATCTAACACACCGGTTTCATACTAATATTGTGTTATTTATTTATAAGACACCCGATCGATACTTTGTATACAATATTGTGTTATGTAGGAGGACACATACAACACATCTTTGCTACTTTGTATATAATTTGTAATCTATTCGGGGATAACTCTTACCCTGTGTGATACTATGAAAGCGACATGGTATTATGCACACTGCTTATCATGGGCACCTGTTTGATAATTTGTATACAACATTGTGTATTTAAATGCACACAAGGTGTATACTATTTGGTTTTAGTAGAAAAAAAAAAGGTTTTTTTTACAGGTGAACGTGTGATAATTCTTCTATCAAGCATTTAATTATATAATTAGTTTTAAACGCGAAAGCAATAAAATTCATATTTTAGCAGGTAGGTACCGATTAGAAAGGCTTGGAAAGCACTTTGTTACCATGGAAGCAATGAACAAAGAGAGAGGGGAAAAAAAGAAACCGATTTCTCAGCCTTCTCTTTAGATATATATTGTTAAAATAAAACGTGACAGTCCATTAGATGTAACCAGTGCAGTAAATTACCCGCCGGGGTGCGGGAGGGTGGCATTATGTATTACAGGGGGTCCTACACTCTACAGATATTGGATGAAGGGTTAACCCTTGGGTGTCTGGACATCACGTTGAGCTGTCTCTGCCCTTTGGGATGTTGTCTTAGCAACCAGGATCCTGTGAGTGTTTCCATGACAAAGTGCTGCGATTTGCAGGCGTTGACTTTGCGATCTCGCCTTCTCTGCCCCCCACCTGCTGGCACCACGCATCAGTAATCTCAGTACAACTCAACCTTCTAAACTGGCCACTATTAACCCCTCTCCAGCCAGAACCCCTTCCATAGAACTGTCACACAAAGCGTGACACTGTGACAGAATGCTCAGACGGCATATTATTAACAATAGCAACAGCTTGTATCAAATAAAGCAATAAACATAGCTTAAGATAACAGTTAAATTAACAGAATATTACTTTCAAATATATCTGTATTTCTTTTTTGAAAGACTAAGTAGTTTTATCGTATCTTTTCTACACGGATACATATCTATACCTCCAACATATTCCATAGCGCAGTACAATGTAACAATCTGACAGCCCATTAGAATTACATGACGAAGGAAAATGTGTTTTATAAAAGAGACGGTATCTCATCATCTCCTTTAAAAGCGGATTTCACTTTTTTCCAAGTTTTATTTTTTCTCAAGCTGTTTTTTGTTTACAGCGGGTATTTTGGCAATTTGAAAGTAAGATAACGCTGGGCCTCTGATTGGCGGAGTGCCCAATCCACGGACTGCGCACGGACCCTCTAAACGGGAGTATGTTAATGTGCTCAGTGCCGCTCTGGGGTCTGGTAAATTCGTAAAAACTAAATATTAGGACCAACTAAATCATTTCTGTCCTTAATTACACTGCTAGCAATATCCTGTATTAACAGAACTAGAAAATAATTCAAATAAAATGAAATAATCTTCATATATCGATCTGTCTTTGCATCATGGATCAAACTTTGCTTCTGAAGAGCGACGTTTGGTACGTTTCTTCCCCGTCAGTTTCCACAGTAAGTTAATAAAGCCCATAGCATAAACCATAACAATAGATCTCTGCTGCCACCTACTGGAAACGGAAGATAATGTCTGCGAGATCAGGTGTGCTGCTAGAAGGAAGCCCATAGCATAAACCATAACAATAGATCTCTGCTGCCACCTACTGGAAAGGGAAGATAATGTCTGCGAGATCAGGTGTGCTGCTAGAAGGAAGCCCATAGCATAAACCATAACAATAGATCTCTGCTGCCACCTACTGGAAACGGAAGATAATGTCTGCGAGATCAGGTGTGCTGCTAGAACGAAGCCCATAGCATAAACCATAACAATAGATCTCTGCTGCCACCTACTGGAAAGAGAAGATAATGTCTGCGAGATCAGGTGTGCTGCTAGAAGGAGGCCCATAGCATAAACCATAACAATAGATCTCTGCTGCCACCTACTGGAAAGGGAAGATAATGTCTGCGAGATCAGGTGTGCTGCTAGAAGGAAGCCCATAGCATAAACCATAACAATAGATCTCTGCTGCCACCTACTGGAAAGGGAAGATAATGTCTGCGAGATCAGGTGTGCTGCTAGAAGGAAGCCCATAGCATAAACCATAACAATAGATCTCTGCTGCCACCTACTGGAAAGGGAATATAATGTCTGCGAGATCAGGTGTGCTGCTAGAAGGAAGCCCATAGCATAAACCATAACAATAGATCTCTGCTGCCACCTACTGGAAAGGGAAGATAATGTCTGCGAGATCAGGTGTGCTGCTAGAAGGAAGCCCATAGCATAAACCATAACAATAGATCTCTGCTGCCACCTACTGGAAAGGGAAGATAATGTCTGCGAGATCAGGTGTGCTGCTAGAAGATAGCCCATAGCATAAACCATAACAATAGATCTCTGCTGCCACCTACTGGAAAGGGAAGATAATGTCTGCGAGATCAGGTGTGCTGCTAGAAGGAAGCCCATAGCATAAACCATAACAATAGATCTCTGCTGCCACCTACTGGAAAGGGAAGATAATGTCTGCGAGATCAGGTGTGCTGCTAGAAGGAAGCCCATAGCATAAACCATAACAATAGATCTCTGCTGCCACCTACTGGAAAGGGAATATAATGTCTGCGAGATCAGGTGTGCTGCTAGAAGGAAGCCCATAGCATAAACCATAACAATAGATCTCTGCTGCCACCTACTGGAAAGGGAAGATAATGTCTGCGAGATCAGGTGTGCTGCTAGAAGGAAGCTGGGTGGGCATGGCTGCAATGTATTATGATGTGGGTCACCCACAATAAAGAAAACAAAATAGAGCTAAAAGTCGATTGAGCTATTTGTGCAGGTTTACAAGGATACGAGAAACTCCAGTCATTAAATTCCCTGGCTATAGGGGACGCCTTGATCTGCTGCCTTAAACTATTTTCAAGAGTCAAAATGTTCTGGTGATTTTCCTTAAACCTACTAAGATTTTACCATATCTAACAGCAGGTTTCAAAGACATAACGCTGTGTGATACGGCGCTGTGTGTTATTACAGTAGGTGAGATACGTCGCTGTGTGTTATTACAGTAGGTGAGATACGTCGCTGTGTGTTATTACAGTAGGTGTGATACGGCGCTGTGTGTTATTACAGTAGGTGTGATACGGCGCTGTGTGTTATTGCAGTAGGTGAGATACGGCGCTGTGTGTTATTACAGTAGGTGTGACACGCTGTGTGTTTTTACAGTAGGTGAGATCCAGCGCTGTGTGTTATTACAGTAGGTGAGATACGACGCTGTGTGTTACTACAGTAGGTGTGATACGCTGTGTGCTATTACAGTAGATGAGATACGTCGCTGTGTGTTATTACAGTAGGTGTGATACGGCGCTGTGTGTTATTACAGTAGGTGTGATACGGCGCTGTGTGTTATTACAGTAGGTGTGATATGGCGCCGTGTATTATTGCAGTAGGTGTGATCCGGCGCCGGGTGTTATTACAGTAGGTGTGATACGCTGTGTGTTATTACAGTAGGTGTGATACGTTGCTGTGTGTTATTACAGTAGGTGAGATCCAGCGCTGTGTGTTATTACAGTAGGTGAGATACGACGCTGTGTGTTATTACAGTAGGTGAGATACGTTGCTGTTATTACAGTAGGTGTGATCCGGCGCCGGGTGTTATTGCAGTAGGTGAGATACGCTGTGTGTTATTACAGTAGGTGTGATATGGCGCCGTGTATTATTGCAGTAGGTGAGATACGCTGTGTGTTATTACAGTAGGTGAGATATGGCGCCGTGTATTATTGCAGTAGGTGAGATACGCTGTGTGTTATTACAGTAGGTGAGATACGTTGCTGTTATTACAGTAGGTGTGATCCGGCGCCGTGTGTTATTGCAGTAGGTGAGATACGCTGTGTGTTATTACAGTAGGTGTGATATGGCGCCGTGTATTATTGCAGTAGGTGAGATACGCTGTGTGTTATTACAGTAGGTGAGATATGGCGCCGTGTATTATTGCAGTAGGTGAGATACGCTGTGTGTTATTACAGTAGGTGAGATACGGCGCTGTGTGTTATTGCAGTAGGTGAGATATGGCGCTGTGTGTTATTACAGTAGGTGAGATACGTTGCTGTGTGTTATTGCAGTAGGTGAGATATGGCGCTGTGTGTTATTACAGTAGGTGAGATACGCTGTGTGTTATTACAGTAGGTGTGATATGGCGCCGTGTATTATTGCAGTAGGTGAGATACGCTGTGTGTTATTACAGTAGGTGAGATATGGCGCCGTGTATTATTGCAGTAGGTGAGATACGCTGTGTGTTATTACAGTAGGTGAGATACGGCGCTGTGTGTTATTGCAGTAGGTGAGATATGGCGCTGTGTGTTATTACAGTAGGTGAGATACGTTGCTGTGTGTTATTACAGTAGGTGTGATCCGGCGCCGGGTGTTATTACAGTAGATGAGATTATATATGCACCATAACCACTTCATTTTGCTACAATGGTTTTGACATTTAAACAAAACATAGCAGTGCTTACCCCGTGGGTGGTCGGATTTTCTTCTTGGCTCCTAGGTATATGAGAAGGTTTTTTACGGGCCATTCTTTCTCCGCCTTGTGACTCTGCGCCATAACAAGAAGAAAGAATAAATGAATTTATCTGTGAGGTGAAGTAACAAAGAAGGCCAGTAGGACTATTCCTCGCCTACAGAAAATCACTATCACAGCAGATAAGAGATAATCTGCTACTATCCCAATACAATGGATTATGCTTTACTTAGATTCTATGCTCACAGCCACGGTTTGGCCATCCAAATCTTCCTCTACAATGTACACGCAGATATTGTAACATCGCTCATAAAGATTTACCCAAATAACAAAGTAAGGCCCGGCATCATTTAGCAACAACTGTGGGACATAGAGACTGACACGGCACAGATACAAGAAAGTGCCATTATACATTGGAATAACTGGATTTCATATCGTTTAAATGCTGCGACAATTTGAAATCTTTCTATAAATGTATTATAGAAAATGAGTAACAGGAGGGGAAGATATAATGAAGAAATGACAAATGATTCTTCTGAAATAGGAGCTGAGCATTGGTTGGCTGACCGAATGCTGTTAACAGCCAATCAGAATACAGCTGGAATTCAAATTAGTCTCACACATTTATTTAAACTTCTCTAAACACCTTTTTTACAGAAAGTGAGCTTTCAGAGAAACAAACGTTTTACTTACTTTTTTAGAATATTAAATTCCTGCGGTATGGATGTAAATCACAAATGGAGCATGCCATGGGTTAATTGATAGTAATGTTACATGAGAATGGCCTCTTCCATTAGCCCCAGTGAGACAGAACATGAATAAAAGATTTTTTTTTAATCCGATATCCACGGTGAAAAGAGTCTTTGTTTTATAACCAGTATTTTTATATTCAGAATACATTTCACAGCGTTGTGTGGGGCTGCCAGATATTTTAAATGGTCACTTCTGCAATTGATGTTCTGCGCTGTAGTGTGTGTGTGATTTTAAGTGCGTGTACATAAGGAAAGGAGAGTGTTTATACATTCATTGTCTCTACCGTAAACTTTACACATTTTCGGACACACACTCTCTTATACACACAAACAATATACATTTCTATCCTTACATGAACATGCTGCTTACATACATTTTTCTTTACACAGACATGCATCATCAAACACACACACTCTCTCTCCCACATTGCTCATGTAGACACGCGCACTCTGTTACACATTACACACACACAGACATGCGCTCTCTCTGACACACACAGGCATGCGCTCTCTCTGACACACACAGGCATGCGCTCTCCCTGACACACACAGACATGACTGAAGAAAGATGATTTTGTCTAAGAACAATCAGGATGTGGAATTCTCTGCCTGAGGAAGTGGCTTTATCAGAGTCCATACAGATGTTCAAACGGCTACTAGATGCATACTTGCAAAAACAGAATATTCAAGGATATAATCTTTCAATGTAGGGTAATAACTGCATGATCCAAGGATAAATCTGACTGCCATTCTGGGGTCAAGAAGGAATTTTTTTCCTAGCTTGTTGCAAAATTGTGCTTCAAACTGGGTTTTTTTGCCTTCTTTTGGATCAACAGCAAAAAACAAATGTGAGGAAGGCTGAACTTGATGGACGCAAGTCTCTTTTCAGCTATGTAACCATGTAACATGCGCTCTCCCTGAAACACACAGACATGCGCTCTCTCTGACACACACAGACATGCGCTCCCCCTGTCACACACAGACATGCGCTCTCCCTGTCACACACAGACATGCGCTCTCCCTGTCACACAC